AGTATATTCAGTAGAGCTGGTAGATCTTTTTCCTAGAGGGAACCCTTCTGTTTCTTAGACCTCTGCCCGCCTTACCTGAAAGCATTTGTGTCACTTTAAGGATCTATATTTTTAGAAGTAATTTTTAACATCCTTCCCCATAGAATTTGTCTTTTTCCTTGTCCTAAATTGCTGTCTTCATTGCTGTTCTTAAAGCCTTTATAAACCTGCATAAATTGGCTGCTGTTACAATTACTGCAGTTTGTACCTAACTTGGAAATAGAGTCTGCCAGTCTTCAGTATTCCTTGTGGGCTGTGGAAGGTAGCATGCTTTGTAAAAATGGTGAGCACGAGGACAAAGGAGCAGGATTGGTTTGGTTTATTTCTCTGTCTAAACCAAAAAAAAACAAGAATAGAAATCAGTTAACTTATAGAAATAGAAAGAATAACTTAAGAATAGAAATTGTTAACTTATACTAGAGCCAGACTGGTAAATGCTTTCATATATGTTTCATAAGTTGTAGGCAAAATTTAATCTGGTACTTAAATGAGGCACAGGACTGCTTGTACTAGATCTCTGCATTATGTAGGAAAATTATATAGAGTAATGCTTTGAAGATACCCACATAGAGGAAGAAAAATCACATAGCACATTAAGTTAACCTGACCTTTGAATTTCTGGACGAAAGCCTGTCTCCCAAAATCAGTCAAACTGGTACACAAACTGTAATGTTCTCCTTTGTTTTATTACCAGGACTCCTAAATTGAATTACAGCCTCACAGCTTATTGTTCCCTACTGTTTGTTCTTCATGCAAACTGTTTATGTGCCATCATGATCTAGAGCTATTTTTGGCAGGGCATTAATCTTTTTGTAATGTGACCGTGCCTTGTTAATACTTCCTCTCGGAGAGTTTATGAGGGGCTTGTTGGCTTTGTGCTCTGGAGCGCTGACTCCAGCTCTCTGAGCAGAGCACACTCTCTGCTGGTCCGAGTGTGAGGGTTGTGCCTGGATTTCTGGTGACCTGCTGGGCTTCGGGCGTATTGTTTATGGTAGAGGGAGTGAAAAACTCCAGGGAGTGTAATCGGTCTGACAGCCACTTCCACGGTGTCTGTGGTATCACAAAGGAAAGTGCTGTCAAAACAGCAACGCCACGAGAGATATTAATGACAAAGTTCAGATGAATGGGGCTTTAATGTGATGACTAAGGAGAGGCTGGGACACGTTTGCATTTGTCATGCCTGTGCATGAGCAGTGCTGGAGTGGGGGCATGCTCCTTTGGAAATGCCACCATGAATGCAGCATTAATGTTTTGGTGAGATAAGTCATCTTGTCTCAGACCTCTCACCACAACATGCCAAAATAGCTGTTCCTCAGCTTGCTGATGCTTTTTATTACAATATGACTATTGTTACATCAAATTCCCCACTTTGTGCTTCGTCATTGCCATTTCAAGCTTGTAATTGTGCACTTGGAGAAAGTCTACCTTGGTTAATGAGAGTTGTTCCAATTTAGATAACAGAGGATTTTCTGCCAGAATTGACATCCTGTTTTAATAAAAATTAATGCATACTTCAAATCATGTTAATTATGAACATGTAATCATGAAACATTTTGATATTACACAGTCAGATAGCAAAAGAAATGTGACGATAGGTATAATCATTAAATTTCTGTAGCTGTAATGACTCTGGAATGTAGGCAGGGGCAGTGCTCAAGAGGGAAATTCTGCCCTGTCTTAAGCTAATCAGTTGTAACTGAAAAAAGTCCATGAGGAAAAGGTCCTCCATAGGCCTGCAAAGATCCATGTTTCAAAAACTGCACCAGTTTTCCTCAAGGCAGAAATCTAAGTGCTGTTGTTTGACTTAGACTGTCGATGGAACACTGTAGACTAAAAAGGGAAAGAAATGCTCCCAGCCCTCCATTTCAGCACTTCTTTGAAACCTACGGCTGCCCTCTGTGGCTAAAAAGTGTTTAGTGGTATTTGTGGACTAAAACACCCAAAACACAGATGCATTAGGACTGAGTCTGCCATTTAAAAATTTTCCCCTGTAATTTAAAGCAAAAGGTGAAAAAAGTAATACTACCTTGCAAGGTCTAAACAAGTCTGAGATTCTGAGAGGCAGTCTTTCAGTTACATTATTTATAAAAATATTGGCATTTTTATGCCCACAGTTGCACTCAAGAAAGTTACTAGCTTTTGTCTAAATGTTGATAAAGCAGAATTTAAAAATCCAGTTCTTAAAGAGCTTGGCAAGCAGTATGTCTGTGTATGCAGGCTGTCTTTATTTTGTTTGTACTTCCCAAATCTGTAGGGTGATTTCTGTACAGATAGATTAAATGTTGAGAAGTGGTCTAGTACCGTTAAGGGAAAAAAAAAAACCAACAAATGTTCCAAATCTTACTTTGCGACCCCACCATCTTGTGGTAGTCTGTGGTATTGCTATAGAAAATAATAATTGAAAAATTAGTTTTAAATATTGTAAATGTGTCTCTGTCTGCTGAATGCGACCTGGGTTTCTAATCCCATCTTGTAAAACACCTTTCTATATACTTGTAAATACAGCATGTGCTTCAGGAAGTTAATTTGAGAGCAGCACTTCCCAATTTCCTTCCTCCTCAGCATCCTGCCTCCCCATTTCTCTCTCAGTTCCTCCATGGTAGACCCACAAGTTTTGGCACTCAGCTTACCTCTCGCAGTGATAACCTAACAGTACTTCACACCAAAAAAAGAAAGTTTAGAAATTGCAATAATTTTCAAGGCTTCTGTCCCCTTCTTCAGCCTTTTTATTCTTCAGCTGCTGTGCCCTCTAGGAACAAGTATTCCACAGCAAGGACTGGTGTGAAATTATTCTTACATACTACATGAAGCATGATCCTGGCAGTACCAAGAAGAGAAGATATAACTGTGTAATCCCCTTACTGAGAGACCTGTGTGCCAACTTCTAATTATTCTTAAGTAATTTCCCTCACTTAACCTGTTTGATTCTTCTATTTTGGAAAGACCTCTCCAGTTTTATGCAAATAAACTCTGTAAAGATATGGTTAAATGCTTCAGCAAGGTGTGAGGAGTTTCCTTGTTTAAATAAAAAAGCAGTAATAATAAAATCTTCAGAATGACGATCAGTGCTGAGTTGAGATTAGGCAGAGCACAGAGGTTAGAGGCCAAATCTGAGCTAGCATTTGAAATCTCAGTAAAGAGTACAATCATGCCTAGTTTCATGCTAGTAGTTCCCCACATTTGTTATGTATGTATCCAGAAACTGTCGAGGGTAGGTAATCACTGTTTTGAATTCAAGCCGCTCTACAACAGAGGGTTGTAATCAAGAGAATAGAATTGGAACTTTCTTTAAAAATGTGGGTTTGCATTAGTATTTTGTGGAGTATTTTATAGAGTTTCTCTAGAAAACTCTTTTTGGAATTTGAGGTGGGAATTACTCATTTTGGAATTAGAAATGTTTTTCTGCACATTCATTTTGAGGAGTTTGGTGGTGGTGGGCATTCAGACATAGGCAGTGCTTTATCATCTCTCTTCTTCTGACATACCATACCACATTACTCTAAGGCTGTTCCCACCATTCCTGTTAAGATTTAACTTAGTAAAAGCTGTTACTGTTTTAACAGATTATTCCAAAATAATGATTAACATACCTCTAGCAAAGCTTAAGGGCATCAAATACCAATGGCTCCCTTTGAGACACTGTGAGTTTAAAAAAATACTCCATGTGTGAAGTCTGCAAAGAAAAGTACATAATACTGCACATTGTAGACATGTGTGTGCATTTCCTGTTTCTTATTAATGAAATGAGCAAAATTTAGTGCCTCCTTCTGTGATTTTTCAGAAATCAGAGGGAAAATACAGCAGCTTGCAGTACAGTTCTTTATCTGAGCCAGGGAAAGCATGTAGAACATTCCAGTAAGGATTTGAATAAATGCCTGAGTAGCTAAACCCAGGGATGGAGCCAGACATAATGCAAGAGAGATTTCTTCATGCTAACTTGTGCCTTATATCTAATTTCTACTTACTTATTTTTAGATAAGTACTGCTAAGTTAACAAGAGTGTAATTTACACATCATAGGAACATTGAAGCAAGTGTGATTGCATTGTCTGAACTTGTGATTGTGATCCTTCTCTCTGTGTTACTTTTAGTGTGCCTGATAAACAGCTGAGGTTCCTATTAGCTGTATCCAAAAACCCCTTAAATTTCTGCAAATGCAGTTATGGGAGGCACATGTCTTATCAGGCCTTTTGACTGCTGGCCCTGTGATGTTGCCTGTTCTACAAGCATTCAGACACTTTCTGTTTGGTGCCTCAGCTTATTTGGTACAGGATAGAGCTAAAACTCATTTCCTAGAGATTTGTGGTTCTGAGTGTAAAGTTTTTCCAGGTTTTCAGTGTAAGAGTACAGCTAAAAGGCGCAGTAGTCAATTAGTGGAATCCCACAGGAAAAAGACGCATATCAGGGAAAGAGCTGTAATTCCAGTAGGTAGATTTCAACTAAATACCTGTGGTATGTATGGTTTCCTTTAAAACCTGCTTCTTGAATACTGGTAACAGAGGATGTGGTGATAAAAAGGAATTGAGACACACTGGGCATGTTTTGGGAGCTGGGGTCATCTCTAGTAGGACAAAAATTCCCAGTGTGTAAGTGCCTTGTTTCTAGCTCAGGTGAAAATGAGAAGTGTCATTTAGGATGGATTTTGCATGTCTGAAGGGAGGTGCTTGTCAACAAGAGGCAGGATCTATCTCCTCCGTACCTGTCTCTACAAACAGGGCCTTATGTATAATTATTTATGGTAATAAATCACTAGAGTTGACGGACATTTGCCTCTGGGTATCCTGAGTTCTTTATAGGACAAAAAATCCAACAAAAACCAGATTACTGGTAAGGTTTGTAAATGTATATATTGGTGATGAGTAAAATGTGAGGTGGCAGGGGAAAGGTGGCAGGTTTTAGCTTGTCAGTCTCACAGTATCATCCTGATTCACATTAATGACTTCGTGTATTCCACCCCAACAGCAACACAGATGTGCACACCGTGGCTTCACTGCTCAAGCTGTACCTTAGGGAGCTCCCAGAACCAGTTGTACCATATGCAAAATATGAAGATTTTCTTTCCTGTGCCAAAATGCTCAGCAAGGAGGAAGAAACGGTGAGTTGGTAACTCAAGTAAGGTGAAATAAAAGGCTGTTCCAGTTTTCAGGAGGAGAGAAGCTGGTGGTTGTCCTAATCTAAATGAGCATCTATTAATTGAAGCAGGTTTTGTATGAGAATTCTTGTCACCTGGGTCTTTGGGAGTGCTAAATAAAAGTCTGTAGCATAACCTTAGCTGTATTTGTTGCATGTCAGTGAATCCAGTTCAAGTAAATATCATTGTAGTCAACAGCTTCAATTTTGCATGGAAGAGATGTGTATTTTCATGGATTAGACTCTGAACTGTAAGAGGAAGGGTCTTGATGGTTGCTGTTAAATCAGGAGCCATTTATTAGTCATAATCTACTATAGACCAGAACTGGGTAAAATAACCAAATAGTTTCTTGTAGGAAATGCCAGCTAGTTCAAACCAGAACTGTTCATGTAAGGCTTAGCCTCGTTATAAGCAGGAGGAATGGAGCTGCTGGTCAGAAAAGGAAGAATGAAAGAAAAAGACAAGACATGATGAAACAAGATAGTTATTTTCTTGTTTATTTTTTCCAGAGCTAATCCATGTTAGCCTAATCCAAAATGGGTTCTACAAATTGTTTGTTCCTGATCATAGCCTATATTTAATGCTGCATTTTCAGTGGTGTGTCTGTTGTCTTGTAGTAATTGGAATTGCTGACTTTTTTTTTTAATCTCTGATAAAATATTAAGTAACTGTGCCTACTCACTCTTAATTTTTCCTTAAACCTCTTAAAGGGCCTGAAAGAACTGGTGAAGCAAGTGAAGAGCCTGCCAGCTGTCAATTACAATCTGCTGAAATACATCTGTAGGTGAGTGTTTTTGCAAGAATATCACAATGGTATTTATAAGTGTGAGCTGACAGACCTGTCTGTCTATGTGCCCTGAAGGAAAAACATTACTCACACTTCCAAGGACTGGAGAACTCAAGTGAAAGTACTAAAATGGTAGGTTTACTGCATGACTAATTAGTAATTTACTCTATCAAGATTGTGGCTTTTCTTTTATAAGCAGGAAAGAAGTGCAAGAAAGTAGAAGTTAATATATTATGTCCACCTGATAGGACCTTGTTTTTCCCATTTCTAACTGCAGTTACTGGCTTTGTTTGCATTTAGAATGCAATGCTTAAACTATTTTAAGAAACAATCACATGATTTGACTCTTTTTTTCTAGTTTTCCTCCTTACATGTTCCCTAAAGATCTCTTTCTTCCCCACAGATTCCTTGATGAAGTCCAGTCATATTCAGGTGTAAACAAAATGAGTGTGCAAAACCTGGCTACAGTTTTTGGCCCCAACATCCTGCGCCCCAAAGTGGAAGATCCTCTGACTATCATGGAGGGTGAGCTTACTGTACATAATATGTAAGAGAAAAGAAGAAATGTCTTTAGGTTTATTACCAGCACATAACAGTCTGTCCAGTAAGTTCCATATATCTGTTATATAGAGACAGAAATTTTCAACCTGAATGAGCTTTTGGGTTAAATCTTGCAGGCTAGAGTGAAAGGTACTGAAACGTGCAGCATTGCAAGTAGACTTCGCATGAGATTGTTTTGCCTTGGCAGCTTTACTAAACATGGACCTTCTCTCTCAAAACTTCCTGCAAGCATGGCATGTTCTTACTCAGCACGTGCAGTTGGAGTGCAGTTAATATTGGACAAGGAAGAGCTCAGGTTCACACTGCAGTGACCCGTGTAGAACCCCCACGAGGCAGTTGCATATTGCATGCCTTCCTGAACAGCAGGAATCAATTTACCAGCTGCATGCTCTCGTTACAGCCATGTTCAGCTGTAGCATTTTGCTGTGATTAAGACAAAAATACGGACGTGACAATGTCCTCCTATGACTGACTTCCTTCTAGTCTTAGTCTTTGTGGCTTCAACTCTGCATGAAGTACACAATGCCTTTTCTGCCATCAAACATGTTTTGTTTAATGTGGAGGATTTACTCAGCTTTCTCAAAAATTAGGGCTCTACATAGACTGTGCACTGAAAATTTTAAAAATGCAGTTTTCATAGTTTATTTCATAGTGTATGGAATTATTCTTTTCCGGTGAGAAGCTTTTTCTCTTCCCAGATCCAATTCCCTCTATACTTTGTTCATTCACTTGTTTTTCTGAAGCCTTAATTTTTCTCCTCCTTCTTTTTAATTCTTATGACAATGACCATGCTGTTGTGAACAGAAACATGGTATTTCCAAATCATGTATGAAATCTGTGAATACTGTCTGGAGCAACTCTCCAGCCTGCTTATCAACAGCCCTTAGAATTACAATTACAGTGCCTGTTGCAGGAAACAGGATGGATACTACATTCTCTGTAGGAAAACACAAATCACTTTTTTAACTGTTGAGAAATGGGTTTGATTAAACAGATTCATGACCTCTTCTAACCATTACTATAAGATTCAGCATAAGACAGTGCTGATTTGCAATTGGGCTACACATACTTAAATGTACAGGGACCTTGAACAAACACTACACATTGATTGATGCTCATGGCTACCCTTTGTCATTTCTCTTTGCCTTTTGGAAGATACAGAGTGCTTTTCTTGCACAGTCATTCAAAATAAAACATGCAGCTCTGGGGAACCATATCTTTATGATGGGGATGAGGAGTTGGTTTTGTTTGATTCAGCAGAGATTTCCTTCAGAATTCAAGCCACAGGGAAATTTTTTCCTGTCAAGTGCAGACATAAAAGTTGCCTAAGGACAAAGCAATGCTTGTAGTAAAGTTCTGCGCACAACAGGTAATGTTCTCAGAAGGAATGCAGCTAAGTGTGCCAGGGGATTAGCTAAAAGAATTTTCCTACTGCCTAGTTCTAAAGTATCATTTTGCCTCAGCAAACAAACAAGAACAGCTAAAAAAGATACTGAGTATCCATGTTGAATTGACTGGGTACTTGTATTTTAAAAGGGTGGGATATAAAATCCAGAGTATTACAAAGGAATTGATGTGAAATGATTTTGCACAGTGGGAATTTATTGATTAGAAGAGCACAGCATGCCTCTCAAAACTTTTAGCAGTTTAAAAATGAGGTGGTTATTATAATTACCTTGACCTTGTTCCTGAAATATTCTTAATAAACCGTAATGAGGGTCTGGTTAGCAAAATAGAGTTGCACATCTTTGTCATGCCAAATCCAGTTCTAAATGCTAGTGTGTAAATTACAGTGCAGTCAAGTGGTGTGCACACCAAGGGGCTGTTCTTTCAGAGGAAAGGTGGCCATCTATTACAGCAAGCAGCAAGCTGTGGTCCTGCATTACTTCCATAGAGTGCTGTAATGTGGCAGAGTTCTCTGGCTGCGTGCAGTCTCACCATGGAGTGGTTAAATGCATTCACATTAAATTAATTCTGTCTCATTACTGCACTGTTTTGCTTCACAAGACTAAAATGTCTGTTCCAGCAGTGCAAATCCCTTGCCTGCCCATTTGCTGTTAAACTATCAAACACAAGAGCTGTGCCAGAATGAGACTTTGGTTTTAAAACGTTCGCCACATTGAGTGGAAAGCCATAGTTTAGAATGATGCTACCATGTTCTGCTCATTATCTCCGCCTGTGGTCTTCATGGGATGCAGTTACTGTCATGGTAACAGCTTCTTTGCAATTGTTCCCATTGTTTTTAGGGGGTCTGTGAGGATTTGCTGGCTTGGTGTGATGGAAGGAAGAGATCACGCTGATGTGGCCCTGTAGCCAAGAGGCACTTCAGCCTTGTTAAACACTCAGGGTGTTAGACAGATGGCTGCATTGTGTCAATGTTTGCTAAGTATTTGTGGAATCTGGGAGATAAAATGTATTTATGCCTTAAGTAAAACAGACCATTCACAACCTCGTGCTTGGTGTCCCCTTTCAGGTACAGTAGTAGTCCAGCAGCTCATGTCAGTGATGATTAGCAAACATGAAGAGCTATTTCCCAAGGATGTAGACCCTCAGATGGGGCCTGAGGTGTGCAACAACAATAATGAAATTCCAAAGAAAACCACTGCAGGGCAGCTACAGAACAAAGAGAACAACAATACCAAGGAGACGGCAGTGAGGCGCTGCTCTTGGGACACGCCGGAGTCTCCCCAAAGGGGAAGCATGGACTGTGAATCTCTGACTGCTCTGCCAGGCAGCAAGACAAACAGCCCCAGGAACAGCATCCAGAAACCAGATGTCACCAGGAGCCCGCCACTCATGGTGAAAAAAAATCCTGCTTTTAATAAAGGTAGCGGCATAGTCACCAACGGGTCCTTCAGCAGCTCTGTGGAGAGCCCGGAGAAGAGCCAGGCCGTACCAAACTGCTCCCTGCAAACCAGGAGAACGTCGTCCCTGAAAGGGCCGGTGACCAAGATGGGCACACACAGCGTGCAGAACGGAGGGGTGCGCATGGGCGTGTCCAGCACGGACGGGCACAGCAACGCCCTCGGCAGCCGGAGCCCGGGCTGGGCGCCCAATGGCTACGTCACTCTGAGGGACAACAAGCAGAGGGAGCCATCCGTGGGTGAGTCAGGCCAGCACAACAGGCTCTCCACCTACGACAATGTCCACCAGCAGTTCTCGATGGTGAACTCTGATGACAAACAGAGTGTGGACAGTGCCACCTGGTCCACGTCCTCGTGTGAGATTTCTCTCCCGGAGCACTCCAACTCCTGTCGCTCGTCCACCACCACCTGCCCTGAGCAGGACTTTTACACAGGTAACTTCGAAGACTCTGTGCTGGATGGGCCACCCCACGAAGAGCTCTCTAACCCAGGTGACTATGAGAACAAAAGTGACAGGAGGAGTGTGGGGGGCCACAGCAGCCGAGCCACCAGCAGCAGCGATAACAGCGAAACGTTTGTGCCCAACAGTACCAACAACCACAGTGCTTTGCACAGCCTGGTGTCCAGCTTGAAGCAAGAAATGGCCAAGCAAAAACTAGAATATGAGACAAGGATAAAAAGGTAAGATGGTTCAGCGCTCTGCCATCTGACTTTGCAGAGTAAATCCAAGTTTTTCCTCTCGTGAATTGCAGTAGCTGTAGTCACTACTGTGTCACTCACTAGGTGCTTGCCAATGGTTTGTCATCTTTCAGTGTTGACATTGCTTCAGTGATACTGTGATGCAGAGGAGTGTTTCTCAGAGCAGTTGTTTGTCATGGTTGTGACATGTTATTCTGTTGGCGTCAAAAGTAAAGCCAGAACCTTTTGAGTGGGTGTCTGTGTATAAAATGTAATTAACAAAATTAGCAAAATCAGTAGCTTTTCACAGTGTTTCCATTAGCTCATGCCTATTCTTGAGAGAAAGGCAACTGAGTGTCACCTTTCAGTGAAAGCAATGTTGTGGCATACTCCACTTGTAGTTTTTGGGACTGGGGAGACTGCTGGACTCCTTTGCAGCCCTCATTCCTCTTGAGAAAGTGCAGCATCTGGGAGTTACCTCTGCTCGTCTTTGTGTCTTTGCTCTGCTGCTGAGCCTTTCCTTCAAAGCTCAGACCAGTTAAAAGAGGGCAAGGGAGGGATGTGTCTTTGTCTACAGATAGTGCAGTCTCTGCTCATACAGAGCAAGGTTGCAGTGGTGAGTGGTTGTAGTGATCAGTGAATAACCTCAAAGTCTGGGCTGAGCATTAATTAATGCACTCAGCAGTGCAGAGCTGAATGTGCTCTCTTTGTTATAAAGGTTCTTCAGCCAAGCTGTTCAGGACTTTCTGTTCTCACCTCTGTTACACAGCAGCTGTATTGCACTGGTACCTCTGGCACTGCAAGTCATAGATCACAGCATGAGAGCTGCTGGCAACAGCAGCTGCCAGTCAAAGTGCAGCCTGCAGAGTGTTGCAGTCTTTCACCTGAATCACTCTTTCCAGCAGAGTGTGCAGTGTAATGAAGCACTTCATGTATGGTTTAATATGTGTGCTGACTGTGTTTAGTACCACTAACATCATAGGAGGTTTGGGTTGGAATGGACCTTAAAGATGAACCAGTTCCAACCCCCTGCCATGGGCAGGCACACCTCCCACAAGACCAAATTGCTCAGAGGCCCATCCAGCCTGGCTTTGAGCACATCCAGGGATGGGGCATCCACAGCCTCTCTGGGCAAGCTCTGCCAGAGCCTCAGCACCATCACAGTAAAGAATTTATTCCAAACATCTCATCTAAACCTACTCTCTTCCAGTCTGAAGCCATTCCCCAGTGTCCTATCACTATGCCTCCTGATGAAGGGTCCCTCTGGCTTCCCTGTCAGCCCCCTTCAGATAGTGGAACACTTTAATGAGATCTCCATACAACCTTCCCTTCTCCAGGCTGAACAGCCCAAACTTTCTTAGCCTGTCGTTGTAGGGGAGGTACTCCAGTCCTCTTGTAACTCCATGGTCCTCCTTTGGACTTGCTCCAACAGGTCCATGTCCTTCTTATGCTGGGGCACCAGAGCTGGACACAGCACTCCAGGTGGGGTCTCACTAGAGCAGAGCAGAGGGGCAGAATCCCCTCCCTCACCCTGCTGCCCAAGCTGCCTTGGATGCAGCCCAGGATACAACTGGCTTTCTGGGCTGTGGGCACACATCACCAACTCATGATGAGTTTTTCAACTCATCAACCATCACTCCCAAGTCCTCCTCAGCAGGGCTGCTCTCTGTCAGTCTCTTCTCTGTCAGCCTGTAGGTGTCCCTGGGGTTGCCATGGCACAGGTGTAGGACCTCGCTTTACTGAACGTCATGACAGCCGTATTTACAGATACATGCAGGTCCATACTGGCAAATAAATACAGGCTGGTCAGCTGAAGAAAGGAGATCAGCAGTGAAACAAAGGCATTCAAGGCACTATTCTGACCCTGTGGGTAACACTACTACAACTAGCAGCAGCTGGGTGTCAACGCTTCAGAAGTAAAGGGAATAGTTAGCCTAATCCTGGAGAATGAGATGGAGCTGTTTGCTTCTGTGCCTTTTGCTGTTCAAAGGCATTTTCTAAATGAGCTACCAAAGAGACAAAGGTATTTTTTTAACAAACTGCCAGAGAGCTTGCCCTGTGAGAGCAGTTCATGGATGAAGCCATGGTTTGTAGATATACCCATCAGAAATTCAGTCTAATCTTTAGAAATTAAAAGATGTGTATGAATTTGTTGGTGGTGTGTGTTTCTGCTTGAGTGAGTGAGGAGTGCTGCTCAGGACCTGTCTGCTTTTATTTCCTTCATGCAGCCTGGAGCAGAGAAATCTCACCCTGGAGACTGAAATGATGGCCCTGCACGAAGAGCTGGATCAAGAGCGGAAGAAGTTCACAATGGTAGAAATCAAAATGCGTAACGCAGAGCGAGCGAAGGAGGATGCAGAGAAGAGGAATGATATGCTGCAGAAGGAAATGGAGCAGTTTTTCTCTACTTTTGGGGAATTGACAGTGGAGTCTCGCAGACCAGAAAGAGGCAACACCATCTGGATCCAGTGAGCTGTGGAAGCATAGGCTGTGGGACTTGAGGAAGGGCTTGGGGGTATTATACTGTATCAGGTGGCTGGTCACCTGTCTGAGGCTAGTACTCAACAAAATGTTACAAACCCTTGAAGGAGGAAATCATACATACATTAAGCAGTCATATCTACAGTGTGTACTTACCAAGTTATACTTTTTGAATGCTTCATGAGACTACTGTCAAGTGTTACAACTGGATATGTGTATATAAATTTAAAAATCACCTTAGAGCAAGAGATGTATCTGAAGAAATATTTTAATGCAAGTCTTGTATTTAAACTGGTAAATTGAGATGTTGTTGCAATCAAGCTTTATATAAAGGCTTTTCTCCCTTGCACTTAACATAATAAGCTATTTTTGGCATTGTGTTACCATCAGCTTATTTTGTATATCAAATGTTTTTTTTTGTTTTTGTTTTGTTACCCCTTTTGCTGGGGAGTGAAGATAAGCAGATATGTTAAGGTAAATGTGTGGATGGTTAGCCCTGATTTGCGTCACTTCCAAACAGACAGCAGGATTGAGAAACTGAAGTATGCCACGGGAAAAAGAAAGCAATACTGCTTTCACAGAATTGATGGCCAGGGGACAAAGTTCCAGGGCACCCCATTGTTAAATAACAAGTGAGGATATGAAATCAGCCTAGACTGGGGACAGTGACAGAGGGGTAAACAGCTGCTTGGGAAGAAGCAACAGCTTGCTGTTTGGGAACAAACGTGAGTGACCGAGTAAGAGGTTGGGGAGAGGGAAAAGGGGGACTTCAGGAGAAGTTCATCACATGACCTGAGTTTTTGGTGTACCCTGAAGAAGCCTTGTGCCTGATCACTGGAGTTCAGAGCAGGGGTATTAACCAGTTGTTCAGACCATATTTGCATCTGACTTACCTCTGCAGTCTGGGTGAGGGTAAGTCCTTTTTGCAGTGCTGGTGAAGGGACACACAGGGAGGTTTAACTGGGGACTCTGGTAACCTTATGGATATAAAAAATAACAAAACAAACAAACAAACAAAAAAAACAGCAACAACAACAAAAAAAAAGTCCTTGGTAGAAGTTACTGGGGCAGCTGGCAATAAACAGTAAATAAGGAAGAAAACACACCAACATATTCACCACTTGTATTTACAGTGCATATTAACAAGTTATCACACTGTCATGAATGCTTCAAGAGATTATTGTCAAGTGTTACAACTGTGAAAGTTCCAGGCTCTCAGCATCACCAAGGGAGGACCTAGAGGGAACAGCCTGGAGTGTCACAGCATTCAGAGTGCCAATGGAAAAGAAACAGCAGAGCCATCCTGTAAATTAATAATTTGTTTGGCATCTTTAAACACAGTAAGCATAACCTGTATTTTCTACACCATGGTAAGGATGTTTGGTTTTAACTTAGGGTTTAGGGCTGCAAGCAGTATTATTAGAGAGGGTTGTTGAGACATCTTGGCTTCCCTCTAGTGTCTCTTAAATATATTGCAATTATTTTTTAATTCCAGCTGAAAAAGATTGATGAAGGTGGCTTCAAAGAATCTTCTTGGTTATAGTATGGATATTAAACAAGTATTAATTGGGTGTGGGTATTACACTGGGAAGCAAACATGAGATTTTAAAATTCAGAGAAATACAGAGCATTACATGTGGTGCTTGTGGATGCATTCTTTGTGTGTGGAGAGGTTCAAAGTTGTTAGGACAGCTGTTGTATTGATAGCTGTGAACATGTCCAGTGCACCTCCAGTCTGTGTGTAAATCAGAAAAAAGTCAGACAGGGAGAGGTATGAGTTCCATGTTTTACATCAGTCAGCAGCAATCACAACATGTACCCACAATGGTGAGAGAAGGAAACAGATTACTGTGTTAATTCTGGTTTTTTAAATTGAGTGAGAGACCTTGATAACTGATGCAGTAGGCTTCACAATTTTACCAGTATCTGACATCTGTTGACATGACATCAAAGCCTCTGAGATAAGTATTTTCTTGACTGGAATTCCTTTTTTTGCACTGGAGGTACACAGTAGTGAAAGCTTCTGTCAAACCTTGTGTTAGGCAGGATTTGGCTGTTTGTTTGAAGCTTGACTTTGCCTGCATTTGAAGCTTACCTTCATGTTTCAAAAGGTGTTTCATACAGTTTGTCAAAGAACGTTCAAATTCCAGTTATATGGCTAAGCACTGACACCCAAATTTCTTGCTTTGCAGTCCAGAACAAGACTTCACCTGACTGTCTTGTAGAAATCATCTGTGCAGAGGGGGAACTTGAGCAGACACAGCAAACTTAGAAAATACCACTGACAGCAGCTGTCCATTCCCATCTTAATCCATCCAAAGTACCCCACTCCACCTGTGAGATTGCAGCAGCATTTAGGCTGTGGTAACAAAGGTTATTTATGCCCTTTAAATGGTCATCTTCATGCTCCTGTTACTGTCCTAGTTCTTCAAAAGCACAAAGTCCTTGATGTTTCTTATGTTCAGAATCTACCACTTGTCACTTGTCAGCTGGATGATACCATTCCCAGGTGGCCCACAGCTCGTGTGCTGCTCTGTTCCCTTCAGCACGTCCAGCCTGTGTGTGAAGTGACCTGCTGGGGATGAAATGTGAAATGACATGCTGATGGAACCAAGTGGCCAGAAGATAAAATCACGCTCCCTCTCATTCAGTGCAATGAAAAGGGGCAAGATTTATTCACAAGATTAAGGTAAATGCAGACTGAGGCTGAAGGCTGTGAAAAAAAACTATAAGGTTTTCATGCAGCAGGTAACAAATGCAGTAGAGCAATGTATCTCATAAAGGCAGTTTTTAGGATTCTTAGCTGCTGAGGTACTGAATATAGCTGAGACAGCTGGTTTTATCACCAGTTTGTGGAATGAAACAAGTCAAGTCATTACAGGCCAAGCTAACAGTGCTACCTGCTGCAAGAGAGCACTATGTTTCAAGTATCAATTAAAATATGGTTAATAAATTTGTTTTCAGCTCTTCCTCACAGGTCTGTGAGCTCCTCAAGTTAAAATCTGTTGTATGAGTTAACTAGCCAGCTCCAAGCTGAAAATGGCAGAACATTGTCCCTCTGCCTCATGCACAGCTCACAAGAGACAAGGCTTTTACAATTAATCAGCACAGATGGTGGGAAAAAATCTCTCAAGCAGATGACCTTCTGCTCCAATCCCAAAGTGTCACATTACATCCAAAAGAGTAATTTCAGGACACACAAGCAGGCTAGAGTTGAGGCACAGAGTAGTTGAGGCACACTTAATCCCATCTCCAACCACATCCTGGGAGCACTGGGATGGGTGCTTATGCATACCCTTAGGTGGCTTTGCACAGCAGACTGGAGAAGTGGCAGACACACCCCACTAATTCTAATTCTTGAGTGTTAGATGCTGGTGTTCTGCTTTGAGAAGCTTTTGTCTCCCCTTCTGTTTATGAGAGTTCTGCTACACATTTGGAGTATGCTCTGGTGCAGCAGAATAAATAAAGTTACTACATATCTTTACCACATGTTATTTTAGCATCTCACACTTACCAACTCAGCCTCAGTTTCCCAAACACAAAAGATTAATAAATAAAATACCATGGTGTTAGGTTTTCATAAGAACAAATAGGAAAGGAGCTTGCTGATATTACTGCTCTTAAGCAGTACTTGATCTAGTAGTTAAAGTGCTGGTCCAGAAATTTTTGAGAAAGATAGAATTTCCTAAAAAAACCTAATATTTAACAAATATTTCTTGTGTAGCATCCCTAGTGGGATGGAACAGAGGCAGGGTAAGGACAGAGTGAATAAGCAGGTACAGTGATTTGCACATTTTGACAGGCCAGTCAAAACAGTGAGTTGCCTCCAGCTGCTCTACATTTGAACACTTCCCGGATGAGTGAAACTCCTAATTAATTTCCTTTCTTACTCTTAATTCCCTCTGGAGTCTGTCCATTGAAGAGGAGAGCGCAGACTCTGTGCCCCTGGCAAATCTGCAAGGAAGCAGAGGAGATGGAAAGGGGAGATGGGCAAATAGAAATTAGCACGTATTTGTGATGTGGGCATGCAAAAATAGAGGAAACAGATGGGAGAGACGAGGAAAACAAGGAAGTTAATATACCTGAAATTGCCACGTGTAGGTGATAGTAATCTGCTCTCAGTTAAGAGCATTCTTTCTGAGAATGTTGCATTATTCTTTCAGAGCTTTTTTGGCTCTAAATTGCTTTGTGGGCTGACACCAGCAGCTGGCTCAGCTGTTCCACGAATACCTGCCTTGCATTTGTCAGTCCTGTGTGCCAACAGCGTGAGTTCCTGTGGGGAAGCACCCAAGCCATTGCCGTGGGAGTGACAGGAGGGAGGGAGCCCAGAAGGTCGGGCAGTTCCCCTGGGTTGCCCACACTCGCTCTGGAAGCTGCTCATGGCCCTGGACTGTCGCCCAGCATCTCCGGAGCTGTGCTGCTCAGGAAATGAGAGTGATGCGGCAGATGCCCTGCTGGTGCAAATTGCCGTGGCTCTACAGAGGTTTAGGAAGCAGTGGGAGACACTGAGAGCTTTCCTTGCCAGGCTTTTAGAAGCTGTCATAATGTGTGTAATTACAATTAGCGTTGGTGATCTGGTTTTATTGGGAAAAGGCTTGTCAGCAATAAAATAGGTTTCTTTAGTATGCCAGTAATAATGGAGAGTGCAAAAATTTTTTTGAGGCCAGAAACATGATCGTGATGCAAATGTATTCCTTGCTTTTTCCCAGAGGGATCCAGGATAATTAGCTTCATATGCAAGACAATTCCACTTTTGAATCTTATAAATGCAAGAACGGAAAACCCTTTCTACCTCTGTGTATTACTCTCTTCATGAGAAGGAGGTTTAAAGTGATTAATGTTCAGTAGCACTTTCTGTTTAAAATACTATTATGAGCATGGCTGTAATTTTTTAAGTGTGTGGTATTTAGGAAGTGACTTGGCTTGGGACCAAAATAGGTAATTTTGAGCACCAGTATTTTCTCTGTTGCTCATGTGACAAAGGTACAATCTTGATTTTTTGGCCTTAAAAGTTAACATTTGCTGAAATGCAGTCTACAGTTCAGTAAAAATACTAGTGATTGCTGAATGTAGCACTACTTGCAAATCAGTTTCCTAAACTGTAACAAAAAATTTTTCCAAATCTTCAGCACTGCTGAGCTATGCCAGTAACTAGTATTTTTGATTGTGCATTCTGTGTATCAGGAGGAATGACAGAACATGGATTTTGGCAGAGCAGGATGACAAATGTAGTGCTGTTCCCACTTTTAACCTAGACTGAGCACTCTGGTGAGGTTTTGCTTAATTTCCTCTTGCAGATGTGTACCTTGTGTAACAGTGAGACCTTACTCTGAGGATATGTTGTGTGTGGAAAAAGTTACAAATTCACACCTCCCTCATTCCACAGAAGTTCCCATGAGTAGACATGCCTTAATACTAATAGGGCATGTGGCTAATGGATATATTTGTATAGTTTAATGGTATTAATAGTGACTGTATC